TTCCGTCGGTAAACTGCAGCAGCGTCGGTCGCCATGAGCTCCGGGATACTCGGTCTGGGATCGGGAGGTTCCGTCCTGTCAGGGGGCAGCCAGAAGCAGTGGCATGAAGACGTCACTCAGGATCTCCGAACCCGCCTTGTTCGTAAATTGTGAGTAGCTGATACCAAAACAATCTCCTGTTGGGTGAGTTGCTGCCTTTGAGGTGTGCGGGTGGGGGGAGGCAGGAGGAAGCCTGGTTTCCAAAACCAGGGGGTCAGGGTGTGAGTTTTGTCAGGGTCCATGAGAAGGGGAAGCAGAAGCAGGAACGGTGGAGCTGCATCTGCTAGTTTGGGGCTGTGGTATTGGAAGTGTCCCACTCCCCCAGCCATCTACACGGGGGCAGTGTCCCCTGGGAGCAGTAGCAGTGCTTCAGTCTGCCGGAAGATTTCCTTGCTGCTTTGTGTTCGGATCACTGGGGTTGATGCTGATGTCCCGGTCTGAAGGCATCCTAATCACTTGCACGCTTTTTTCACCCCCCCCCCCCCCGACCCAACCAATCTTCCCTCCCCCTCCCCCCACCCCCCAACAGCACCGCGGATGGGAAGAGGAGTGAAAGCACAGATGAGAGTCCCAGGCTGAGGAAGCGTGTGTTCAGGGGCTGCTGGATGGGGGGGAGGAAGCAGCCAGCTGCAGGCTTCTGCCTGGGTGTGCCGGGAGTCAGGGCGGTGCCTGTTGGGGTGTGCTGTGCCTGAGACTTGTTGGGGTTCCCTGAAGGCAGCGTGAAGCTCTTCACTGTGATTCTCTTCTCACATCCAGCACTTCTTTGGGAGAAATGTCCAGTGTTGGCCTAATGCTTGCCAGCAACGCCCTGAGCAGTGCCCCTTTTTGCCCTCTTGTCTGCCCAGCAACCCCTGCAAGGGGAGAGCCACCCCCACCCAAGCTGAAATGTGTGTGTAGAAGGCTGTTTTCCAAGCTTGGATCACTGGGACCTGTTGCCTTTACTTAACATATGTCATCTCCTTTCCTGATTTGTATTCCTCCCCAACAGGCAGAGTACTATCACTTGCTAGCAGAGAAGATCTATAAGATTCAGAAGGAGTTGGAGGAGAAACGAAGAACCAGGCTGCAGAAGCAAAACATGATCCCAAACGCTCCGGGCATGCCACAGGCTCCCATGAATCAAGGGCCCAACATGGGACAGCCCCAGCCAGGGATGTCTGCAAGTAAGAACAGTTGGGTTACTGACCGCCTGGTGCAGGGGAATCCTGTATTGTCATGGTCATCATGATGGTGACCATTTCCCTCTTTTCATTTCACAGTTATCTTTGTAAAATTAGTCTGCCAAAAGTTAAGCAGTGCACATGTTTTGGGTTTTTTTTATTTCTTCTGTTTGCTTCTTGGTTTGCTGAGCTGTTCTACCTTACTTTCCCTTTTCAAAGGACACTATCATGAACATATGACCAAGGGTTACAAGTCTATAACCACTTCTTGTTCAAAATGGCTGCCTTCCCCAGTGCTGATGACAAAAATTAAACCCTTGGTTTTTGTTTTCTTATGGTGTCAGCATAGGAAGTGAGAGGAAAAGCATTACTAAAGCCTTGTGCCCCTTCCCACTGCACTTAAGAATTTGGAGGCTGGCCCTGTAACCAGAACGGCTGGCCCTTTGTGCTGGAAGTGGAACTAGGCCCATGGACTGCCAGGATTCTCATGAGCTCTTTGAAATGACAGAAAGTAGAAAACTAAAAAACGAGGCTCTGGCGGAGTAGCGGATGAATTTATGAAGCCCGGGGACCTGGAGCACGAGCTCCCCACCTCGGAGCGTGGGTGAGGGGACAATGCCAGTAGCCAAGCACAAAGAGCCCGTGTGCCAGTGCTCCTAACGGAAGTTGTGATGATGAGGGACAGAGCTGGTGCTGAAGTACAAAAAGCTGCTCCAGCCGCACAACTTTGAGCTGAGCGCCTGTGTCCAGCTCTGAGAAAGCAGTCTGACGTCTGTCCGGCAGGAATAATCCCTCCCGTTACATCCTGGACTCCTTCTGTGCTTTCGCCTGACAGCAGCCTTTTAATAATGATCTTTCTAAAATTTTTATTTCGGATGGCATCAAAACAGAGACCAGGCCCAGAGCAGCAGTAGGGAAGGAGATGGGAAAAATGAAGTCTAAGTTTTGGGGTTCAGTTTCTTGAGGTTGTCAGTGCTGTTATATCCCTAAGGAAAGGAGCTGGCTTTACAAAGGTACTACGATTAATGTTACATAACAAAGTTTTTATTATTAAAGAGAATATAAGTATTCCTTAATCAATTTGAATTTGATTCCAATTAAAATGAAATTATTTAAATATTATTGAAAAGGTTTATTTAGAACCGCAGTGAGAAATGAACAGCCATGGGGTGGGGCCTGCCTTTCATCCTGTTCTGTGTCAAGACAGAACTCAGTTTTGCTTAAGCTCTCAAGAAGCCTTGAGCCAGCCTGTCTGCGAGCCAAGGGAGCGGTGCTGCCTGTTCGGCTCTGGGAAGGACGCAGGGGATGCACACCAGCAATAGCTCATGATGTGTTACCTGACAGATTGTTGCCGTAGAAAGGTTTAATGAACCTTTAATTTTGTATCATCTGTGTCTTTTCTGGAAACACCTTTGTTGTCTGTCATGCAGTGCACTATCTATCAGTATTTGCAAGGGAATAACAGCCTTCATAATTTATTTCATTATCAGCTACGCTATTTAAATACTTGAAAAGCAATTTGCTGTTTCAGTGCTGGAGTATCGTTTGGAAAACCTGAACCTGGAGGACCCCTGACGCTATGGAAATCTGCTGATCAAGTTGCAGGCAGTAGGCTTTGCAAGCTCCCCGCCGCTGCGACCCCAGTCGCTCCCCAGGATTGTCAGCGTGGTTCACACTGACACTCCTTTGCGTTTGGAGCGACAGGCTGTAGCCGCGTGTTGGAGCCTTTGGATTGCCCGGGAGAGCAATCCGTGTGTAGCTGTACCGTAGGCAAGCCTTTGGAATGGACCTCGTCCGTGCTGCCTTGCTTCCGCCTGCAACCGCGGCCGCCCTGCGCGCACGAGGGAGGAGCCGCGCGCGTGCTTCACGCGCGGTGTGTTTAGCTACGCTACAGCCTGTGCAGAGCCCTGCGTTCAGTACGGGCTTTTTTTTTTTTTCTTTATTTAAAGTGCCAGCACAATGAAGGTGATACCAGAATAAAAGGAGTAGAATGGGCAACATTTCGCTAACCCCAGGGGCCTTACCTTCTGCGTAAAAGAGAATCCATGCCAGAGACAAGACGGGGAGGCGCTTGCTTCTTGGCTGTTCTTGACAGCGAGCTGGGGTGAGGGATGTTGCTACCGGTGTGACTAAGACCACGCTACTTTTCCATGGGGAAGAAAAAAAAGCTGAAAGGGAGAGAAGCATCTGTACTATGAAGAAGCTGTCTATAAATGCATAAAAATTTTAAAACCAATTGCATCGCCTGGTAAGCACTTGAAGGCCTCTTTTGCATAGGTAATACTTTCTTTGCCAAATAAAATATCTATTTATGCATGAAATCTCTGAGACGGATCATCTGAGGACGTGGGGCTCGTAATGCTGGCGCTAACCCAGCGGTAACTCGTGTGGGTTATTTACCAGGCGACTCCTGGCCACGGCAGGGCAGGGTGGGAGCGAACGCGCCGGTGGTTTCTGGGCATCAGATCCGCCCCTGGGGCTGAAGTTTGGGGCTTTGCTGTCGTTTCTTTCGTTTGTATTGTTTCGTTATTTACACAAGCTTCTGGGACTGAGCGACCTAATCCAGAACACGAGAACGGATGGGTGGGCCCGGCGCCGTGCCCGCGGGGGGGGGCCCGGCCTCTCCTCCGGCCGTGCGTGGGACCGCCGTGAGGCGCCATGGCAGCAGCTCGCCGCCGCCATGGCGGGAAAAGAACTACAGCTCCCGTCGTGCCCCGCGGGGAGCGGCGAGAACAAGCTCTTGGCTGATTGGCTTTCTTTTCCCGGCTCCCGCCAATCAGATGCGCCGCTGGGGGGGGGAACGTGCTCCCCGCGCGTGAGG